ACATTTTGCTTTTAAGTGTGATTTGATTGTTTACAAGATTTCATCATGAGCTGACATCGGTTAGAGTACAGCAAACCTGTTTCGTTCTAGTTTAGGACTCTTCACAGTACACATCCACTGGGGTTTGAATCCAGGACCTTCTGGTTGCAAGGCGAGCTCGTAGACTATTAAGCCACTGGGACCCGATCCAATGACCCATGAATTCTAACCTCTGTCAGTTCACGATATGGCGCGACCACTAGTGAATGCCAAGCGCGAGTATTTGTCCTCACATCCGACCCGCTATACCATAAATTACCAGAAGTTGGAATTCATGCGCCGTTGGATCGGATCCCAGTTCTTAGTGGTCTGTGAGCTCGCCTTGTAACCAGGAGGTCCTGGGCTCGAACCCATGTGGATGCGAACCTGTTGAAGAGTTCCAAGTGTGGATGAAACAACTGTCTTTAACTCCCATGTTTCCCAATGGTTCTCTAACCGATGTCAGCATATTGAGCTTTATATTTTATATTTTGATTTACAGCTTGATTCCACACCGTATTTTCAGTACAGGTATGGAATTTTCAGCATGGATATCGGTAGCCCAAATTCAGGCCGACCATAGATATCGGGTGTGCGTCGGCAGGGGATTTAACCCCGGACCATGTGCATGGTCGGCGAGAGTCCTAACCACTGTGCCACCGACGCCAGGTTTCTGAATTCCTATATGATAGTTTCTGCCTAGGCAAACTGAAGCGCAGTTTTTCAAGGGGAGTCACACCAGTGTTGGTTTAAGAATTGATATTGTTAGATTATCATGTAGTAGCGTTCTCTTCCTCATCAACCTTAGAATCAGTGAAAATCGGAAAAAAGTTTTGTTTACTTTAAACAGTCTAACTTTCCTGGATATTCTTTTAGATAAAAAAAACACGGAATTCGTCAGTCAACATCTATAGAGGACTATTGTAGTTGTTTTGATTATCAGCCTTTCAGACCAATGCTCAGTGATACTTGTAAAATATAGAAAAAAAGCTTTTCCCTTAAAAAGAAAACGAAGTTAGATTCATCGTCTATCAGTTCTCCGGCAAAATTGGTCTTCTCTCTCCGTTTTTCCATTTCTTTAATTAACATTAGCCCTGAGGTCAGCTGTACAGTAAGCTCATTGAAAATTAACTATAGCTGATAAAGCGAATGAAAAGGTCAGGTAGAATTTGATAATAATAGATCACTAATCCCGATATTTTTTTTCAACATAATGGTGAACAATAAAATAGTTCGATGAATATAATATTTGAAAGGGAAACAAATCAAATATTGTCTCATTTGTTGGTTTGTAAGGATTTGATAGATTCCAAGGTAGACCTCTTCACGAACTGACATCACATGTACAGAAGTTACAATCTCTTGGGTCCTGTCCTTGAATGCGAAGATGGTTGTATAATGGACTGAAGGTCCTTGGTTCGATCCTTTTCAAGGTCATAAATGCGTAGTGCCCGAGTCTGAAAGTCGCAGGAAACAAATGTTCAATGATTCCTGGTTTCCGTTGGTTCGCTAACTGATGTCGAAATACGATGAAATCTACTTTGCAAATCACAGATGTCCTATGATTATATTGATGTTGTTATGATATTGTTTGTGAATAATGTACTTAGATCGTATACTTTTGTTCTGATTGCTTCTACATTCTCTTTGAATATTAGATATTAGAGAGTAATCTGTCGAAATCTCTCAACCTAAGAGTTCTTCCCATATTTATATTCTAAAAACTTGGAGACATTCATCTGTCTCGCGGAATTCGCCCTTATATTACTCAGTATTTACCACTTAGCTATTCAGGGCACGGTAGTTTGCATTCACCACCTGAAACGTACATGACGAAGTATTGTAAATGGTGGAAATTATTCAAAGTTCCCGATAATTTTAATATGCATTCTTTGAAACTGGACGAATCGGATGTGGACTATTTGTAGTCACTAAATAGTCATGCATGTTTTTTTCCTGCGTGATTAGTTTTTCGTTCATGTGTTTTAGTGTAGTTGTGTTCTGTGAGCTGGATGGTTTATTTGCGAAGGTTTCATTGCCCTACTAGGCAACATCTTCATCTCTCCTGGTGACCTTGCATGTGATTGGTTGTTTTCGTGTGTTTTCATACCCCTCTAGGTTACTTGAATTGGTACTGATTGTTTCCTTGACCTGAGTTTAGACTCTTTGTGTGTGAGATTTCCTTCTTATCGATTGGTAAATTTTGTCTGTGTCGATGTGTCTGTTGATTGACGATTCACTGGAATACCAGGTTTCTAAAAAACAGCTGGTTTAAGGTTTTTTGATAGACAGAGATGAGCTTAGCTGCAGGATAGGCTATGGCTAGTGACGTACTCAGTCTTCTGTTGACTATTGCTGCAATGTTTTCACCTTTATAATCAAGTTGAATGTAGATTGGCTTTTTCTCCACTGTGATTTGTTTTACATTTGAGACTGCAGATCATCCATACTTGTTGATGAACCTTTGAGAGTACTCTCCATTACTCTTCAACATATATAGCATCATCAAGCAGGTCACATATTGTGATCTGAATAACTTGATTTTCAAAGGAAACTACAGTGAAATTTTACCACTGAAACTGTAGAGTTTGAAAACTACCAAACGATTTGCAATCTGTGAATTTGATTGCTGGTTTTCGCCTGTGGATCTTGGAGTTTGAGTGACTTTAAACAAAAACCGTCCACAAAGTGCAAATATTGTAGACTCTTCTTGTCGTTACAAAATATTCTTGTCTTGTTGCTTCCCATGATCTGTTGCATGATCCAGTCCATCGCAATCAGGGATATCCTCGTTGATAGTAGTTAGATAGCCTTATCTTACTCTTGCTCTCATTTTAATGACTCCACTGAGCTTTCCATTTAAACCCTTCTTCCTTTCTTCCTTTCTTTGTATCTTCTTGTGATTGTTGGTAATAACTGTATGATTAAACAAGAGAGATGAAACCTTTCTACTGAATTCAACCATGACTGGACTAATTATTACCTATAGACATCTATGAATAGATAGTTGACTGTATCCATCATTGGTAGGTCTAACTTCAGATACATCTGCTGATAATCTTGTTTCAGGCGTTTATATTTTAATTAATAGTACTATGAAATATATTTTGAAATAAACACCTTAATCCTGGTAAAATTTCCCTCAGGTGCATAAATTACGCATTTATATTTTATTTATTTATTATTTTGATTACAGCTTGATTCCACACCGTATTTTTGGTACAGGTATGGAATTTTCAGCATGTGATATCAGTAGCCCAAATTTTGAAGGCTGACCATAGATATCAGGTGTGCGTCGGCAGGGGATCGAATCCCGGACCATGTGTATGGCCACCGACGCATCGGTTCAGTGTCTCTGATCTAATTATTTAAGGATCAAATGAAAATCTGGGTCAGAATAACGTTTAATCTACCAGTCTCTTGATTAATAACTGAACTAAGAAATGAATAAAGAACGAATGAACATATTTGCGCGGTAATATGAGCTCCTTTTATTTCGTGGATTCTCCTCAACTGCGTACACCCTAAATAAATCAATTATAGGTAACAAAATGGTGTCTGAACATACTTTTTACAATGATTTCAAAATTAATGTAAGTAGACAATTATTTAGTGTTAAAAGACTAACTATTTATATAGTAATTAGACGAAGGGGTGGAGTTCTTATTAGTCTTGGAAACAACGATCAACTAGCGACAAAATGCAAGATAGAACAACAGAGTGAATTTATGCATATTATGACGAAGAATTCAGGAGGATACTGGTGGGTGGAATAGTGAAGTAAAGTTATAAAATAGATAAAATAATTTAATTTAGTAGATTTGAAACCCTAATGGCGAGTTAAACTTAGCGAATGATTAGCGAGCAGTTACCAGGGTAGTGAGAGATTATTCACACTCTCTCTTTCTGTACGCATAGGTTGGGTCGAAGTCTTTTGATGGTGGCAATGGTTTCTGCGAACCGAAGTAACCGTGCTCTCCTTTTCTTTGTGTATTGATTGATTATTTTGAAAGCCTGACTAATTTCCACTGTGTGTCCCGCGTCAACTAGGTGTCTGGCAATTACAATTGGGAACACTTTGCTGCCTTCCAAACGGAGACTGTTAGGGATATGCTCAGAGAATCTAGTAGATGTTCTCCTCTCAGTCCTTCCTATGTACTTGCTGCCGCAAGTGCAGGTGAATTGGTAAATGTAGTCGGGGTTGACATGCGCAGCAGGATACTTATCTACTTTTGACTGGGTTAACGAGCTTACTGTGTTGTAAAGTGGAATGAGTCTAGCGGTGGGAAATTTTCTTTTTAATGCAGCTTTAATTCTATTTTCCATTTTTATGGGTACTTCTTCGCCTTTTTACGCTAGACAGATAAAAGCTGATTTCTTTTCAACTATATCGGGTTTCGGTCTAGATAGTTTTTGCTTCCCTTATTTTGATATGAAATTACGATGACTGTGAGTTCCTCTTCGATCATGTCTTCTTAACATAACTCCCTAGCCCTGCTGAAGAGCGTTCTCATCAGTCTCTGTTTGTAGCCGATCGGGCAGAAGCTGCGATAATTCAACTGGTGGCCAGTTGAAGTTTCTTCCTCGTAGATGGGATTTTCAACTGTCCCATCATTTCTTCTTTTTATATTGAGGTCCAGCAATTGGAACTGATTTTTACGTTCATGAACGAAGATACGAAACCCACCTGCAAAGAATGTCTTCATTTCACTGTAATCATGAGGTGTTGTAGTAAGCTGTTATGTGAACACATAGTGCGTAGCTTAAATGGTAGAGTGCCGGGTAAACAGTGTGGCAGCCAATATATATTGTATCCTGCTGGAACACTACCAACCACAGTCTAACCATCCAAATCACTTAAGCATGATGTTAAAATTCTTTACATATTGTGGTGCTTGTTTTTGCGTTAATTTTTTCAGACGCTTGTACAAAATGATTTACACTTACCGTCTTTTTTTTCCCCGTTCTATCTCTGTGCATAGGTTCAATGTCCTCAATTGTATTCAGAAGATGGTTGTCCTCTTTCAACAGCAACAACAACATCTTCTTCATTCTTTTATAATAATAATCAACTGCAAAAGAATAACATCCTGACTGGTGCACGTAAAATTAGCCAGAATTCTAGTAGTTGTGCCTCATTTGATTATACTTCATTGCCTCCTGCAGCGACAATGCCAACATTTTTTAATCATGCAAACTCTACTACTTATAATGCAACTAGTAGTAGTAATAACAGTAGTTTTAGTAATTATAGTAAATTCGGTGTTACCGGCAGTAACAGTAATCTGCTTAGCCAGTATACACCAAATCAACAAGCAAATAAAGATAATACTTTAACCTCACCGATACATAAATACAATAGTAATAGTTTTAATAATAATAATATCGTACATGTAAGTAACTCAAATCCTGTACTGCCTGTCACAGTGCCACATGAGTATCACTATTACCCATCTTATCAGTGTAATAAAAACTGTTGTACAACAGTCAATAATAATAGATCCTATCAATCACAGCAACAACAACCCTTTATCACTCCACATTCACCTTGCCAAGAAAGAGGTTTCAGTGACTTCAAATGTACCCCGAAGAATATGCCGATGAATGTTTATAATCATTCACAATTTCCCTCAAGTGTACAACAGTATGGTGCAGAAAATCAGCCTTATCAAGCATCACTACACCAACACCAACAACAACAAAGTCATATACCAATTCACTCGCTGTTTATCAGTCCAGACGATGAAGCACTTTTCGCTTGGCTAAGATCAGTTGGTCTGAATCGGTAAGTGTTGACATTTATTCGGTCAGTTATTTGAGCTTTTTATATGATAAATGCAGGAGATTTCATTTTAGAAATGAATTTTTCTCAAACTATTAAGTAAGGAGAAGTAATAATGTAATATGGCGAGGGAAATTCATTTTAGAATCACTAACATGCAAACCTGCAACTTCTACTTAGTGCTCATTGCGTGGTCTGTCTAGCATGGCGTATCTTCAGCCTTGAAACAACTGAAAAGAACTGTATTGGCGTCTTAGGTAAAAGTACCGAGTGTTGTGGGTTTGAATCTGTAGGGTGGGGGAGGGTGTGTGTCCCATCGGGATTGCGACTACGACTCGCTTACTGGTGCTAGGACTTGGAGTAACCTAACAAAAATGCTAACCATTTCAGTCTCCATCACTTCAATCGATTATGAGCACTATCGTCTACTGTCTGTCTCACCATATGATCACATGGAACTCAACGAGATCATCAATATCTTACTAAAAGCATTAGACTTAAAACCAATGGCTTCATGATTTATAGAAAATGGCCTGTATAAGACCATTATGTTATGGAATAAACTTAGTCGTATGTATATGGCACTGAGCAAAGAAACTGTGTAACGAAGGAGCAAAATTACTCACTTTGCCTTAAAAGTGGACCCATATTCCAATTAGTTTATTTGGAAGAAAACGGTACTTGAAGCAATAAAATCATGGGTAACACTAATTTTTGTGACGACGGGGTGGGGGATTATACATCGTCGAAAAGATATTCCCAGTAGAAGTAATAACTAATAGCTTGCTACTATATGTTACAGACCAGTGCATTCCAGTGAAAAAACTCCTGACCATCGAAATTACATCTAGCGCAAAATCAAGATAGACTTCGTGGAGTACATGACTCCTTGGCTATGATTCGCACTGTTTGAAGACTGATGATACTATTCAATTGACCAGGTTAAATTAGGTGGAACGAAATTCGAAGCCAAGACACACAGAGGAAAATTCGATTGTCTAAGCCAGTAAGTTGCATCTAAATAGTGAGAATTATATGATGCTGTGTACTACTGATTTATTTATACGAGTAATTGAATGCCACTTACATCAGCCATTTGTGCTTGCTAGACAACAGGATCACAGAAGTGATGTTTCACTCGTTTAAGGCTTATCTCGTCAGCTGTGTACTCGGTTTATCTCAGCTCAGATAGCTGAATCACTTCAAACCACCTGCATTGTGGTCAGCTACTTGGGCGAAGTGGCAACACGTTAGGTCGAATTCCAAATTTACAAATTAATTGACGACTTGCGATTTACACAATGGTCAAGCTGAAATCTCAACACAGTTTCGTCTGGAAATAAAAATCATTCAGACGGTAATATCTGATCTACCCAACACTATATATGGCGATCAAGAAATCACGTGTGCTACAGACTGAAAGTATCAATATAATATACGCAGAACAGTTGTAATATTTGCAGTCTTAATAACATTTATGATGCTGTAAAAGTAAAAAATTGTTACCTGAATGATTTTATTCTCCATCACAAAGGTGTCGTGAAATTTCATCTCGAAATGTGTAAACTACAAATAGCGAACTTATCTGCAAGTGTGGGATTCAATCGGTGAGAATTGTAGACTTTTAACTTTTTAGTAGTTGCGTCTGTGGTCGAATGCCTGACGACTACTCACGTATTACATATATATGTATGTATATATATATAATTATATTAAATTAGAATCAAAGATGAGGATCTATTTGAAAGGAAATTATTTCTTCGCTCAATCCTTGTACCTTCTCAATGTCTAAATGGGGATTACGTTTTTTTCTATCTTGTAAACTTCTCTTGTCTTTGGTTACAGGATTTCATCATGAGCTGACATCATTTAGAGAACCACTGAAAAACTTGCAGGGAGTACTGGACAGCTGTTTCATCCTAGCTTGGGACTCTTCGTCAGTACGCACCCACAGGGTTAGAACCCAGGACCTTCTGGTTACGAGGCGAGCTAGCTCGTAAACCATTAAGCCACTGTGACCCGATCCAATGGCCAGCTCATGAATTCTAGCTTTTGCTAATTCATGATATAGCGCAACCACTAGCCAATGTCTTCAGCGAGTATTTGTCCTCACGCCCGACTTGCTGTACTCTACTGGTTACGGATTCCCACTAGAACCCTAGGTTAACTGCCTGAATATAGAGGCAGTCGCTAATTAGCATCTCATTGATATTCAAGTGTTGGTTTGTAGGGATTTGATTGATTGGTTTATCTTTGATTGTTTGTACTATATAACCGACTATTTTTGTTTTTTCTTTTTGTATTTCAGCTTAAGTGGATGTTTATCAAAATCAGGTTTCGATTTATGGACATTATGTCATACAACACCGGAGGAACTTAATGCATGTGGAATAACCAATCCGTATGATAGACAAATGTTAAGAAATGAACTTGCTAAACTCCAGCTATCTGATCCGATTACAGAACAACAGTTACCTGTAAGTATACGAATCTCGCTGTTGTCATTATTGTCATTACGAGATAATACTTTTGTAATGGGAAGCAATAAATGATAGTCATTGTGTTAATATAAAATAACTGGTTAATTGGAGACATACTCGCCTAATGGTAACCTCTAGAGTGAACAGTCTTCAGGTTAAGACGACTGAAAGCTACTTATACTGGTTCACCAAAGACCTGTAAAGAACTCTGTAGGTAGCATTTTATATTGATTTAGTGACATAACATAACGCCGTTTTCAAATGTTGGTTTGCAGGGATTTGAACAATTACATGTGGGGTCGCAAGCTGACACTAGTTAAAGAGAGCCATTAGAAAACCAGGGAGTACGGGATGACGAGAGAAAATATATGCAGTAGAGAAATAGAAGTTTTAAGCAGTCCTTTTTGGCATCAGATGCCTCCTTGAAGCCATTTAGAGTGGGCATATCTTACTGAGGTGTAGTCATAAAGACCCACCTAACTTCCATGTTTTGTCTATCTATATAGTCCAACCCATATGACAATCAAGGAATGCTGCATAGCTATTTCGTCCTTCTCTGGAACTCCTCAGTAGTTGAGGTTGAAATTAATACAAATACTTAGGAATCCCATAATGTGAATATCAGCCTTCAGCTTATGGATGGATGTCCGGAAGCTGTACTGAGAAGTTGTGACCAGTGGCGTCCATCATGTCAAAGTGAAATGGACGCTCATCGAAGGCGATAAATCACAAACTGACAAAAGTAAGAATTCACGGTTCACTGAATTCCAACCGAAGTGGCTGAATGGTCGACAACCTAAGTCTCGTAATCTGAAGATCCTGGGTTCGATCCTTAGTGACGATGTCATGGGTAGGCAGTGTCGAAGAGTCCAAAAACAGGACGAGATATCTACTTGGTGACCCATCCATGGTTTTCAGTGATCTAACGGATGTTGGTTTGTGGTGAAATCTAACCACTGAAATCAACTCGAATTCCCATAGATCCCATAATTTGAATATTACTCACCCACTGACTATTGTTTATGTATGTAGTGAAACATTTACGCAGTTTCAAACAGTGATGGAATAAAAAAAGTGAGCAAAGAATATCCTTTTCGATGGTTTCCTCTTCTGGCTCTACAATTATATAATATGTCCATATCCATAGAATATTCTAGAATAGTCGTCATTAACAATAACGATGTTTTTTTAAATACTATCGATCTGTAAATTAAGATCAATGGAATTACAGTTCAAGAAAGATGCATAAATTATAATAAGCATAGAATATCAAGCAAAATTAAGGAAATTTCCACAACCAATTAAGGATCATTAGAACTCTTGATGACCAGTGTAAGGACAGTGTCTGAACCAACTAACTTTTTTTGGATACATAAGTTAGGTTTCTTAATGCGGATCCCAGCAGCCAGCCTCAGCAATATTTAGAAGACGAACTCTTAAGGTAAAGTTAAGATTAGTTGGTATGCGGTAGATGATTTTGAAAGGTGCTTGCTTAAAATCAATCTTGTGCTCTGTATCCACAAGATGAGATAGAATAGCGCTATGAATGGATTTAGTTTATCTGTCACTTAACCACGCAGGATAATGTTCGGAAATCTGACGATAAACACGCCTAATTGTACGGCCTATGCAACTAACTGGCTACACAGGAGCAGTAAAATTGGCAGATACACATAGAAGAGGCGAAATTAGACAGTTTATCTTTTACTTCCGAACGCAGAATAGGCTGGGTGATTTTGAAGACACAGCTTAATTCACTAGCATTGAATGCTCTCTTTACCGCCGTATTCCCTAAGCGTTGTGCTAATATCTCACTGATGTTATCCCCAAAGAACTACAGTTGCGAGAATAAAGCCTTCCTTTTTCAAAACTGTTGGTACTCTGGCCTGCCTTGGCTTTAGATTCATATTCTTATCGATGAATTATTCTGGGTAACCTTTCTCACTCATCAACTGCTTAATAATATCAAGCTCTTCATCAGTCGTTGTAACATTTTGCAGGTCATTTATTTTTAGACCATTAGAGGACGTGAAAACCCACAAATATTGCTTGTAAAATTTCAAACCCTGCAGTTTGCTTTCTTTTTTGACAGCAGCCTAATACACGAAACGTCTGCTTTCTACTCCTTAAAGAAAAATTAATAAATATGTACTGTAGATATGCAGTGTACACTTTTGTAGTAATTATGTGTATATACGTGAGTGGAACCTGATAGACAGTGATGGGAATATGTATATTCTTTTGTGTGCATTATATGATATTAAACTTATCTCATTTAACATACTTCTTACTTAATGTTAAGACATAGAAAAAAATGAGATGGAAGAAAAAAATATTTTCCAGGGGAAAAAGAGAAGAAAAAATTATGACAAGATAAATGTAAAGTAATTGTCTGCGCGTGTTTGTGTATCTGACTGGTTGCTAAATTTTCTTTCGTTTTATGGTTTTTTGTAAGAGTCATAGTTACTCTCTTTCTTCTCTGGTCTATTCTCTCTCTCTCTTCACATTGATCATTATTTCAAGTTTAAAGGAGGGATATGTTAATTAGTTAGTTACACACAAAGAAGAAAAATAGTTTTCGTGTTAGATATTGAAGGTTGTCAGCTATTTTGTTTTCTTCTTCCCATATTTTTGCTTGTCTGGTTTTCAGCCTTTAACGTTTTTATTAGAGGAACAAAAGAGGATAGAAGAAATGGAAAGTACAGATTTTTAAAGAGTCACTAAATGCCACCTTTTTTCCTTCTAAAAACTAGAACTTTGTACAACTACTATAAAAAACCTCAAAGACCACAAAAGAAAATCATTCTGTCATATATATACATAAATAGTGGACTGGATTTGTGTCAGACTATGTTGAAGGTGGAGACAGGATTACCCTGGACCACCGATAAAAATATATAAGTACAAAACTTGGGGACTGTGGTAGAGTATAACTCCATTATAGATAAGATTTTATTTTGATAAATCACACAGTGTTATACAGTAATATTAACTGATGACCACACCTCGAGCACAAACTATTGCTCATAATCAAATCATATACCAATAAGAAGACTCTAGAAGATCTGAATTTCGCAGATGATATGTGCTTAATGTCACTCAGACTCGAAGACTCTCAGGCGGAAGGCAATAAATTGGCAGAAGAGGTTGGCAATGAAGACGGGATTACAGGTGAACATAGAGAAGATGGAGGTGATGAAGATAATCAACCACGCACCAATTACCATCAACGGGAGAGACTTGACAGAGGTTACCTCCTTCACTTATCTACGAAGCATCGTATCAACTATAGGCGGAACGGATAAAGATGTCAAAGTCAGCCAGCTAGAATCGAAAAAGTGAGATACGCCATCATCAACCTGAAACCAGTTTGGAAATCTTCTACTTCACTCAGCCACTCAGCATAAAGAAGAAGATTCGGATTTTCGACACCAATCTCAAGTCAGTCCTTCTATACGGGTCAAAAACTCGCCCAGCGTGTCACGCAAACGATTTCCAACAGGTTGCAGACTTTTACCAACAGCTGCCTTCACTGACTCCATTCTGAAGATCTAATGACCAGTCAGCTGGGCAGAAAGAATTAGTAACAAAACACTCTTGGAACAAACCAACCAAGAGCCGACCACTCAATAAATATGTAGGAGAAAATGGAGATGGATCAGGCATACATTGAGGAGACCGTCGAGTGACGTCGTGAGCGATGCAGGTCATCGCCCGGGTGGAATCTCAATGGGAAGCGACAAGTGGGTTGTCGGTGTGAGGACGGCATGGAGGAGATGGTGCAAGGAGGAGATTAGAGATTATGGGCAATAGTGGAACCAGCTGAGGAGGACGGCAGAAAATCGAAGACAGTGGAGATGTGTTGTTGAAGCCCTATGTTGTTCCACTCAGAACCCGAAGGAACCATAATATATATATATATATATATAAATGTATATATAAAGAATATTTCTGAAGCAGCAGCTGGAGTACTAAAACCATTTGAAATAGATATAGTGGCCAAGTCAACACATTCGCACTTCATTCAATATCGTCGGACCAAAAGACCCAGCCCGCCAAAGAAGACTGGATCAATACCATTTATAAAATACATTCTATGGACTATTTTCAAGAGTTTCTTTTGTGAGAACTTGATTTGTTTCAACTTTGATCAAGGATTGAGATCCAATAAGGAACCATTGAAAGCAAGAGAATACTAGATAGCTGTTTTGTCCTAGTCCGGGATTCATCATCAGTATGAACCCCCTTTCCTGTTACAAGTCAAGCTCATAAGCCATTTAGCCACCAGGACGCTACTCTATGGCCAGGCCATAATTTCTCACTTCGACTAATTCGTGATTTTAGCGCAACCACCAGAGAATGTCATCGGCAAGTATTTGTCCTCATTGCTGACCAGATGGTATACAAGTTTGCCTTGTAATCAGAAGACCGTGGGTTCGAAACCCGGTGGGTGCGTACTGATGATGAGCCCCAGGCCGGGACAAAACAGCTCCTCAGTACTCTGTGGTTTTCAGTGCATGAATAGTGTTTGATAAACACTAAATTCTTCAAAGTGGACATCTCCTTCTACTCAAAATCCAAAAATATAAATCAGCTGTGAAGAGACAACATATATTCTTTCATATTGATGCATGCAGAGATAATTATGGGCACCAATTTAATTGGGAAAATGTAGAGATTTTAAATAGTGAAAACACCTATAGTAATAGCAGTAAATTTCTAGGAGTCTGGTACTCAAATGAATCAGTGATTAACAAACATATTATTATTTTAGGCCACATTTACCAACTAATATAGAATTATTTTCAAGTATTGGTTTTGTAGGGACCTCTATAAAACTGATCTGATGCTTATTAGCCACTGGCCTTATTCAGGTAGTTACTTGGGGTTCCAGTGGGAGGCCATAACCAGTAGGGTACAGCAGGTGGGAGGTGAGGACAATTACTTATCCAAGAAGACATTGCGAAGTGGTCGCGCTATGTCATGAATTGGCAGAAGTAAGAAGTTATGGGCTGGCCATTGGATTGGGTCCCAATGGCTTAATGGTCTACGTGCTAGCTCGCCTTGTAACCGGAAGGTCCTTGGTTCTAACCTAGTGGGTGCGTACTCCCTACGATTCCCAAACTAGGATGACACAGCTGTCTGGCAGTACTCCCTGGTTTTCAATGGTTCTCTAACTGATATCAATCCGTGGTCAAACTGGTAAAAACAAATTTAATCCCTAAAGACCAACTCTTGAAAATCCAGTAAAATAATTAAAGTTCAAAACAGCTCCACGTTACTGTGTATCATTGCAACGAATGCCGCTAAACGATTAAAACTAAATTTATGCCTCCCAAAGGAAACTGCTGTCAATCCCACTTTACCTTGCTAAATACACTTTACGTTATTCCAGTTTTTGTTAATTTATCTTCTTAATTATATCTTACATCTCTATTCTATCTTTAACATTTGTTCATGATTCCAGATTACTTCTCAATTATTTGTATCCGGTATGTAATTAATTTTTAAATCATAGCTTGATTGCACACAGTATGTTTGGTACAAGTATGCGATTTTCAGCATGTGATATCGGTAGCCCAAATTTAGAAGGCCGACCATCAATATCAGGTGTGCGTTGGCCAGGGATCGAGCCTCGGACCATGTGCATGGTCAGTGGGTACACAATACAAATACCAACGATTTCCACTTCTTTCCGCGTCGGTGGCACAGTGGTAGAATGCTCGTCAGCCACGCCAAATGGTTAAGAGCTCGATCCCCGGCCGACTCACTCCTTTGCCAGGCTAAACCAGTAATAAGGCTCGTAAAGAGGAAAGGTTGGGCATGATGCTAGCATCCCCACCCCGTGAAAATAAACACCACTGCTACCAAAACTTCAAGCCTCTAGCTTGAAGCCCCTATGTTCCACTGCGAACGCAGAGGAATAAAATAATAATTCATTCCTTTCCGTAATGCTGCTTAATCTTATATACTATATTAATGTTCACCACTTTCATGATCAGTAACTAGAGTATTCGAAAATTTACTATTATCAGTGTTAAATTCTTCATGGTTGTGCGCAATTGAAAAGAACCAGTGAAATATAAAAGACGTCATTTCATTCGGCTCAATATGTTCTTCTTGCTTTGTTCATTTGTATGCAGCAGAGTGTTCTTTGTTGAAAGTTCTGTCGGTCAGATAAACACGTTGATTATCAATGAATGCTGCTTTATTAAACAAACACACTTATCTTTCTCTGTTACTGAATAACCATAATGAATTCAGACAAAGCATAAAGAAGTAGTAGTTTGTCTGAATCGTGTGTTGTGCATTTGCGCAACACATTTCGAACTATCTGATCGGACACGAATTTGTCACAGGGAAATATGTGGGATTAAAAGAGTTAAAAGGTGAGAAAATAGACTAAGGTCAAGTTAAAAGGACATATTTAACGTCAAAATAACAATGAAGATTACTAAACCAAATAACAGAGGTAATAGTTCATCTGTCCTGGCTGCCATCAAAACAAAGTGTGATGACGAACTGTTGCTTTGAACGCATAAAGGTGATTTGAACTCCAATGGGAAGTCAGTGCTACTATACGCATCAGAGACTTGGCCAGCTCGTCATAAAGAACATCTCAAACAAACTACAGACCTTCATTAACAGACAATTGTCTTCGCTCAATACTCAAGATCAGATGACCGGCCAGAAAAGATCAGCAACAGGGATCTCTGGGAGTGAGCCAACCAGGAACCGATTGTGAAACAAATAGGCAGGAAGAAATGGAGATGGATTGGCCATACTCTAAGGAAACCATCAAGTGACATCACTAGACAAGCCATTGCTCGAGTGGAACCCGAGAGGGAAGCGGCGAGTTGGTCGTCAGTGCAAGAGTGGGTAACTTGGAGGAGGTCATGTGAAGAGGAGATGAAAACGTGTGGGCAGACTTGGAGCTAGGTGAAGACTATAGCAGAGAACAGAACGCAATGGAGACGCATGGCTGAAGCCCTGTGTTCCTGTAGGAATTAAAGGATACAATAATAATAATCATAATAATAATTGCTAGCTAGGGCTTCCACAAACTTTAAGATACGCCTTCAAACACGTTTTCTTATTAATATTCCCTTGAGTCCCAAGTGGAACAACATAGGGCTTCAACAACACATCTCCAGTTTCTTCTGTTTTCACACGTCCTCTTCAGATTGTTTCACGATTGCCCATAATCTCTCATCTCTTCCTCACAACACGATCTCCTCTGTGGCACCCTAGCTCTGACCACCCACTCGTTGCTTCCCATTTGGATCCCACGTTTTACTGATAGTTTTAAAAGATGTGTAAACATCAATTTTGTGTCTTGTCTCTATAATATATTGCGTAATAGAGGAACTAGGTCTCCTGTTCTCACTTTTAATGAATTCAATTGAGTGAATAAAAGTGGTAACTTACTCTGTTACTTTAAAGTTTGTCAAAGTTTTACATGTCCCTGATTACCTGTTCGGATCGTCTATTTCAAACTGTGATAGTAATCATTTCAATAATGAGGATGGAATTATTTTCTGTGTATTTGACATTACTGTTCATGATTCGCTTACCATATTTTCATTCCTTTCAAAGTTACACAAATTGCTCAAGCTTCTTGCAGTTTAGCTTCAAAATCCGAAATGTTCGGTTATTAAGTCATACAATTTGAGAGGTCGACGATTACGAACCATAAGTATTTGGTCACTAGTGTAGAATCTTACTACATAGCTGCTATGTATACTTCGTACACACTTAGAAATAAATTTCATGAATAATTATGAGGTAACAACGATCAGAAAATAAAAAGCGGCCTTTTGAGATGAGTCAAGGATAAAAGACACTAGGTAGTTTTTTGATGACATCTTATGCAACTAGATTACAGGAAGTGTAGTTCACATGTACAGGGTGTAATTATTGGGTGCCAGTGCTCACGCAATATACCAGTAAACAGCAATTGATATTTGCTAAAGCCATTCATACCACTAGAAATGGGGTTATCTAAGGTATCTTGTGACTTACTGGTTACCATTTAAGTGTATAACTCTATAAACTACAGAATGTGTGCATCGGTGGCACAGTGGTTATGACTCTCGCCGACCATGCACATGGTCCGAGGTTCGATGCCCCGCCGACGCACACCTGATATCTATGGTTGGCCTACTAAATTTGGGCTACCGATATCACATGCTGAAAATTTCATACATGTACCAAAATAATGTGTGGAATCAAGCTATAATAAAATTTTTTTAAATAAATAAATAATTTTTTTGTTATTGTTGTGTCTTCTGCATTTCAATAGACAAGTGTTCAAGATTTACTGATTCAATTGCATCTACAACAATATTGGCCAAAATTACGTGACCAGGGTTTGATTACATTTGAGCAGATTGTTCGTATCACATGGGATGATTTAGAAGAGATCGGTATCTTAAAATTAGGTAAGCGTTTGTTTTTCTTAAAAAAAAGTTAATGTTTATGCTAAAAACCTTGACAAAGTTAGAATTCACAAGTCGATGAATTCAGGCCCAAGTGACTGAATGGCCATTGAGTTTGGTCTCATAACCTGAAGGTCCTGGGCTCGGTCGCTGAGGGATCCCAAACTAGGGCATAACAAATGTCCAGGGGTCTCTGATTTTCATTGGTCTCTGTCTAACTTATGTCGGTTTATGACAAAATCTAACAAGTGAAAGTAATGTTTGGTTGGTTTTTATAATTGTAGGGATTACTATTGATCTGAAAAGGAATCTTGTCTGACCATTTGATCCTAATCGTTCTCATGTTCAGTCATACTTCACTGTTTCCTAGTTTACGACTGTAAGACATGGCCAGTGAAATTAGATGAGCACGGTATGGTGAGTAAGACTGGAGATAGGTATAGTGTTTCTTTTGATTGAGTAGGGTAAACTGCTGATTGATGAAGCTGTATCGACTGTGTTCAGCTGAGGTGCTTCTACGAGCAGTGTTAGCTACAGTAGGACTGAAGTTCTTGGTTTATTAGTTATTCCAAGTAACTAGGCCCTATCGAAGATAGATGTAGCTGGACAGCTGTTTCGTCCTAGTTTGAGACTCTTCATCAGTACGCGACCACCAACTTGCTGCTAAGAATTGAATCCAAGACCTTTTGGTTACAAGGTGAGCTAGATCGTTGACCATTAAATCACTGAGGTGGAATCCAATGGCCCATCGTTTCTAACTCCTGCTAATCCCTTGGATGAATTAAATGGTGTGTTTTTATCATCTTGATAGTGGAAACCAGCGTGTTTTTGTGTAATTTTATTGCATTTTTTTCGATTGGTTGATTATTGGTTGGATGACATGTGTATTAGACTAAATTAAATCATCACCATGGTAACTAAACATGCCTCTTTTTGTGATGATTGTAGTATTTTATTGCTTTCATTAGTTTTCAAATGTTGGTTTGCGCGGACTTGATTGATTTCTCGAACTGATCAAGTCAGTCTACCCCCGCCGCTGGTGCTCACTGATGACTGACAATAGGATGAAGTCGTCACCAGCGGGATCCATCAAGTCGGTTGTGAAGACACATACACGCCAATGATATCTGTTGGTGGCTGCGCTATACACCGCGTACTGGTAGAAGTTGTCATTCATGGATCATTGAATTCCATCCCAATGGCTGAGTGGTCAACGAGCTGGCCTCGTAACCTGGGGATCTTAGGTTCAATCCCTAGCGGTGAGCCGATGGGTGCGTGCCCCTGAAGAGTCCCAGACCAGCAAGAATCACCTGTCAAGTACTCTCTCTGGCTTCCAACAGTTCTCTAACTGAGGCCAGTGCGTGTTCAGATTATATAATTATGCGTTTTGGCTACTAAAATTTCACTTTCATACTTTCTGTTATTTTTTGCACCGTTATTTTTGTTGTTGTCTGTTCTAACAAATTCTGTATCATATGCCTTAGTTGAAAGATACTCAAATATTGTTGTATAACTATTTTTACGAGTTGATCACGGATTGATATCAGTTAGAGAACCATTAAAAACCAGGGAGTACTGGACAGCTACTGTTTCATCCTAGTTTGGGAATCATCGTCAGCACGCACCCACTGGGATTCAAACCCAGGATCTTCCGGTTACAAGGCAAGCTAGCTGGTATACCATTCAGCCACTGGGACTCGATTAATGGCCTACACATGAATTCTAACTTCTACCAATTCGTGATTTAGCACGACCCCAACCATTGTCGTTGGTGGGACATCCATCCACACACGTGACATCTCATTGGACCTCACTGGTCACGACTTCTCACTAGAACACCAGGAAACTGATATCAAACATAACTAACGCTTACAAACCAAACTATAGAAAATTAATCTGATGCTCGCTAGTGACTTGCTACAGGATGGAGTTTCCAAGAGTTCTAGTGAAAAGTCGTGACCAGTGAGGTCCAATGAGATGTCACGTGTGTGGATGGATGTCCCACCAACGACAATGGTTGGGGTCGTGCTAAATCACGAATTGGTAGAAGTTAGAATTCATGGGCTGGACATTGAATCGGGTCCCAGTGGCTGAATGGTATACGAGCTTGCCTTGTAACCGGAAGATCCTGGGTTTGAATCCCAGTGGGTGCGTACTGCCGATGATTCCCAAACTAGAATGAAACAGCAGCAGTCCAGTACCCCCTGGTTTTCAATGGTTCTCTAACTGATATCAATCCGTGATCAACTCGTAAAAACATAACTAACCCTTACAAATCAAACTGTATAAATATTATCATGGAATTCACAATAACATTTAAACAATGAATGTTTATTTGAAGTGATACTTTGGTTTACTTACTTCGTCATGTGGAATTTAAAATCACATTATACCGCTAAGACACGAAGGTAATTATGTGGCGTTAACGTGTCTATGTTTATCGAGTTCACTGACAATCATTATTTATTCCATTATCACAACATGCATTCTATTGGTCTACACATTATGCAGTGCGTCGGTGGCACAGGGGTAGAATGCTCGCCAACCATGCTCCATGTGGTCCGGTGTCCGATACCCGGCCACCGACACACTCCTTTACCTCGCTAAGCCAATAATTAGACTGGTAAAGGGGGAAAGTTGGGCATATGGCTAGCAACCCCATCCTGTAAAAATAAACACCATTGCTACCGAAACTTCGAAGCTCTAGCTTGAAGCCCCTGTGTTCTACTGGGAACGTAAAGGAATGAAAAAGACGCTGGGCGGTTTATTCCGTCGATGAATTCCTTCGAAGCTAGAAGGAAATAATGACTGTAACGAAGAAAAATGGTGTCATGTTTCTCAGAGGATTTCCACAAATCATGTACATCTCACCAATGCTCCGCCATCATTCTACGAGTGGACAGTAAAAAGCGAATGGCAACCGAGCAGAAAATGTCAACTAATGTTTGACCTCAGGTCCAAGCGATAACTCCTATGAATCATCACGACAACTAACCTTGACCTACCTAGCACTTCTATGCATATATGATTTAGGAAGCTAAACTTTATTATGCAATACCTTGAAGAAAAAGTTCACGGCAAAAGCAAATTGCAGATGTACAAATGTTGAGGAAGACGATTCCACCTTACTATATTCAGTCCAATCGTCTTGTAGGTCAACAGAAAGAATTCAGGAAATACTAGCGGAATTTCCAACTTGAATATCAACGCGAAAATTACACACACATACTATGAAGACACAAAACCTTCCAGTATTCGCAAAGCCAAGGTGATTAACCTTGGGCAAGCTAAAAGTCGCAGAAGCAGAAATTAACCGCTTGTTTCACTCGATAATCATCCGCCCTTACAATAGCCAGTCGGCTTCAGGATTGACACCCAGGAAAAATTCAATCTGACTTGATTGTTAAAAAGGGGGAAGCGTGTTTTATTCCTAGAAAGCATCTGATAGTGATTAGAGATGTACTGATATAACATCCATAACTCACTAAATTTCAACGTTGACCTTCACACAGAAGCGAAGCAGTTCAAGTTGTCACACTCCAGGTAACACACGAAGTTTGCAACTAATAGTGTTCTCTGAGCTGGTTGGTTTGGTTGCGGAGCTTTTGTCGTCCTTCTGGACAACATCCGCCTTCAGCGCAATATTTAGCATAAAGTGTAATGACTTAAATTTCTTCATGAGTGATATAATCGCGTCTCCCGGTAACCATCTTTACATATGTATTGACCATTTTCTATTGACTTGGATTTTAAACTTTATGGTCACCTGATTTACTTTTTATTAGTGGGTATATTTTGTCTATATTAACGTGTTTGTTAATTGTATTTTCGTTTGAGTACCGGGCTTCTAGGAATTCCCTGACTGCACTTTTGGTGTTTCCTCTGTCTAATATTTCGACATTATGCCAATCAAACTGATATCCATGGTTGTTTATATGCATTGATACTAAAGAATTTATATAGTGTCTTTTCACGGCTGATTTGTGTTCTTGGACTCTAATTCGAAAGGGACGCCCACTTTGGCCGATGTTATGCCTGTTACAGCTCATACAATTTATTTTGTAAATGGTATTAATTTTATCTCCTTTTTCTGTTGGATCTTTCGGTTTGCATAATATCGAATTAAGTAATTTGACTGGCTTGTGTGCTATATCTACATCAAACGGTTTCAGTATGCTAGCTTTTATTTCAGAGATATTTCTCATGTATGGTGGGATGAATTTTCTTGTGATCTTTGATGATGGTTTCTTGTTGGTGTTTTGATTCGACTTTAAACACATTTTGATGAAATTTTGTGGATAACCATTCTTTTTGAAGACCGTTTGTAGGTATTTTTCTTCGATTCTTTTCAACTCTGGAGTGCTACAATGTGTTTGAACTCTTTTAAACAATGTCTGCACACAGTTTCGTTTGTGAGTAACTGGATTGTTGCTAGTATAGTTGAGTATTTAATCTGTGTGTGTTGATTTTCTATATACTTGTGTTTCTAAATTTCCTGTTTCGGTTCTCCTGATTAAGACATCTAAAAATGGGATTTTTTTATCTAATTCTTCTTCTCTTGTGAATTTGATGTCTTCAAATATGTTGTTTAATAATTTATGGGTATATTCTAAATCATTTCTCTTAATTATTACAAATGTATCATCAACGTAACGTACCCAGATTTTCGGTTTAACACTAAGTTAGACAACAAAGAGTAAAAATCAAATCAAAAATAATGATAATAGCAAATATTGTTATAATAAGCAGAAATTTGAGGGAGAAGGATAGAAACTTGGGAAAACATGAGGGTTTTAGTAGGTATAGGAGATCATCGAGAGTGAATGTACCTCTGCCAGTGATAAAAATTTTGATTCATATCACCAATGGTCCCCAGCTGTTTGGTTCTTAGTATCCTGAAGACCCCATTCAGACAGTCTATAACACCACTGAAGTCCTACAAGTTAGAAAACCAGAGAACTCATGATTTCCAGTAAAAGACTGTCTGTGTTGATTGTTTTGACCTAGATTTCGTGCCTCTTGGCACTCATCAACAAGGTGTATCAACGATATCGAGGGAACTGTCACCCGCCTCAATCAGCACTGGTCCTAGCGATATTACAACTGCGCACAAATATTACTTAGTCGGTATTCACGGCTTCCTACCATTTACCCGCAATCATCTAACATCAACTCAAAATGTACCGCTATGTTGAGTCGCTTAGCTTGATAACCGTTTTAGAAATTTGACTGCTAGCATTCAGTGAGCACCAGCATTTAGTGCTGGACTCATATCACTGGTAAAGTTGTCTGTCTAATAGGGTGCATAAATAAAATATGCAAGTGTAACTAAAAATTGCCTTGAAAATAGACTTTCTGAACACTGCTGAATAATTTGTAACTGGAATGTGAAACAACTGTCCAGTTCCCTGTAGGATAAACACAACCATTCTCTAACCCACCCTTTTTTAATAATCATTTATTCTTCTCGTCTGACTTCCTTTTCAGGACATCAAAAGAAGTTTATCCTTGCTATTCGTAAACTTAATCGTCTAATACACGATCGTGTATTTCTACCACCGGGATTAGATCAGCCTACCGGAGTGAAGTCATCAGTCAATAAGTCTTTTTCATCGAATGATACTGTTTTTTCCTCACAAGCCTTAAGTTCACTATTTTCAAGTAAACGTAAAGAAACAAGTTTTGATCAAATCTATAATGTCCAGTGTCAACCAGATCAGTTAATGCCTACAACAAGCGAAATGATAAAGGATAAAAAAGATAGTCAACAAATGGCAAAACATGACAGTAAGTTGTTGTTTTCAAATAATATTCTTTGTAACTTAATGGCTATTGAAGGGGTGAAATAAACCTAAATACCTGCAAGTTTCAAATAAATAGCTTGCGTTTTCTTTTACATGTTTATCAAGCGAATTATTTCCATTCCTTGCATTCTGGTTGAAACATAGGGCTTCAGCCTTTAAGCTTTGTTGAAGTTATGTTTTCACGGGGTTGGGTTACTACTCTCACACCCAACCTCTCCTCTTTTCCGAGCTTCGTATCAGCTACTTAATTAGGCGAAGTTTAGGACTCCCATACATTAAATAATCCCTTAGTTCATTATCGACATATTTAAACATCCCTGGAGTAATGCAGGCAGGTTACATTGTTTCCTTTTACTTCAGGCTAAAGCCAGATTTCGTAACCTTGGACACCAACTCGATTGGAGGAATGCACAAATCGTAGAGAATGAAAAATACCAAGAATGCTAGAGAACTCTTAGACGCTTGGAACTCAGAAAAAGATCTGCAATTAAAAGGTACATTAACACAGATGAAGTTTATTGAATAATAGAAAAAAGTCAAATATTAGATCAACAAAATAGCCAAAGAGGTGAGAAATATCACCGGAAACAACCAGTCACATCAACAAAGGTAACATGAGAGATGGTTAATAAACTCATGGAGAATTCTAAAATCGCATGTTATGCTGAAGTTTTCGCTGAAGATGTTGTATAGAATGACAATGAAAGCTTTGTAATTGAGCTGTCTAGCTCAGAGAAGACAGCAGCTGAAATTCTTCGAAGTAGATTATTGAGAACGATTCGAAAAACACTTTTCATCGTATCTTTACGTCTCACCTTATCCACACAACCTTTTATTCATCAACACGTCAAAGACAAGGTTTCGCTGCTAGCGACATCCCTGTGCACATATATCAGTTCACTCGCTCATCTGGAGCTAAGTAAATAAACCATACAGGTAGGATACTGTCTGGACGCGTACAAGAACACCCTTCAATATTCTCGTCAAAAGTAGAAAGTAGTCAAAAGTAGTAGGCAAACTAACAGTTCATTTCTTAAGTGCCTTGTTCCTAGAAATCATTCTGCGTTGGTAGAAAAATCTTTCAAAGTGATGTATATATAAGGTAAGCTCAAATGGAACGAAGGGTATCCGGTCACATCTTCTGTCCATAGCAGAAGCTTTCGCTATACACACTATAAAATCCTGAATTGTTTATACAAAAGCGACTTATTCAATCCTTCTTACTACGGTAGGACGTAAACTTTCTTTTTCTTCATAACTCGTACAATAACTTGGTATATAGTCCATATTAATTCGGTTTATGTTTTCCTTTTATTGCTTTCAAACTCTTTACTTTAAAATACATTTCAGAAATATTCTGAATCTGTTACCCTTTTGAACAGTGTGCCTATTTCCAAGAGCTTGTAATTTTAATCAGTTCTGAGCGATACTCACCTCCTATTGTTTCTAGGTTAAATAATTTATTTCACTTGTGCTTTGAAGTTTCTGTAAAGATATGAGTGACTTTCCGAGGTAGGGTCGCTGGCCTCATGCTCAACCTCCCCTCTTGTGTTGTGCTTAGGACCGGCTAGAAAACTAGCGAAGTATTAAACTAGGTGAGGCCCTCGACAGCATTGACTGCGAAGTAATTTGGAAACTACTTCAACACTGTGGAGTTGCACCAAATCTTTATCAACCTCATTCAAGAACTACATGACAATGCTACGTGCCAGGTGATCCACAACGGAATACTCATCAATGCCTTCGAAATGTGAAGATAGGAGTAAGACAAGACTGCCTAATATCACTGGTGATATTCCTAACTGTGGGCAACGAGAGGACTGGAATGAGAACGTCAAAACCAGAATTGGAAAGGCAAGGTACACCTTCATTACTCTAAAATCAGTGTGGAAATCTGCTGACTCAGCTCAAGGAACGAAATTCTGTATAGATCGGAAACTTGGCGGACTTTTATCAACAACTTCCTTAGCTCCATAGTTAAGAATAAATGGCCCAAAGGAATTAACATTAAGGAACTCTTGGAAAGAACCAATCAAGGACCTATTTCTCCATAAATATCCCGAAGAAAATGGAGATGGATCGGACACACGTGGAGAAGACTGCCGGGTACTATCTCGCTCCAGGCATTCGAGTGAAACCCAGATAGGAAACATCCAGTTGGGTATAAGTCTGTGGGTGGCATGGAGGAGATTGTGTGGAGAGGAGATGGGAGATTATGAAACCCTGTATGTTCACTCAGAATCGGGGGGAATAATAATTATTTTGCTTGATATTTAGATTTATATGTTTTGTTATCAACTAATATGAACAACTGACCTTATAGGCATTTCCCTAATCTTTTATAACTCTGTATAACTGTACAACTTTGAACTGAAGTTACCAAAAGAATACTCTTTGCTGACCAATGTTTCTATTTCGGAAACCGATTGGATCAATCACGCCAGACATAAGGATATTCGCTTCTCAGCAAGTATCGTTAATATACATCGTCGAATTTCTTACCAGTATGCTTGAAGCACGATTTATTGGAGTCACTTATTCGATGGGGGAGTCAACAAACCATAGGATGGAACAATAGTCCAGTGTCTCATGGCTTGTAACAGCTGATTATCATCTGATGTGTTTTCGTTTACTAAATCTACATTTCATAATGCTTCCGTTTATTCATTACGTCTTATAAATTGAAAATCGAGTGCGAAAGTCAAACAGAAGGTTAAATTTAAAAGATGCACTAAAAGCAAAGTCAAAAAAATAGTACATCGAATGCAAGCGGTGTTTTTCTAATTACCTACACTAACATAAACATGACTCGTAAACACTTAGCGTTAGGGGAAGAAGAATAAACAGTTAAAGGTATTGGATTTTGGTCTAAAGTATTTAAAACTCCCTGTAATTTCAAACTGTTATGTTCAATGGATATCAAACACACACACATACACACACAAAGTAAAACAAAGTCATCTGCTGTAGGACGACATTTCGGACACAGTTGTAATTACATAACTCCGAGACTTGATTTTTAAAGTTCCCTTTCTTCTTTCCCACTTGTCGTGAGGGTAGTAGAATTTTCCAGATGTGTGAATGGACAAATATTGAGTCACTCCTATTGCATGTTTTCTTAGCTGATTCGATAAGTAAGGTTTCTCTCTCTTCACTCTGTAACACTAGATTTTGAGACCTTACCACTGTCCTATCCTACTGTATATTTGTATGTAACTGCATGTAGCGGTGCAGCCGATTTTTTGTTGCCTTAGATTTCGCCAAGTTTTTATGCTCAACTAATCTAATTAACCCCGGCCTACTACTGTCATTTATGTATGGCGATCACCGCAACTTATTAGATAAACTAAATTTTTTTTATTTTGATCACAGCTTGATTCCACACCGTATTTGCAGTACAAGTATGGAATTTTCAGCATGGATATCGGTAGCCCAAATTTTGCAGGCCGACCATAGATATCGAGTGTGCGTCGGCAGGGGATCGAACCCCGGACCATGTGCATCGTCGGCGAGAGTCCTAACCACTGTGCCACCGACGCAGTAACGCTCATATTATTATTTCTTAATGTACATTATCCCTTATTGATTTTTATTCAAATATCTAGTCAATTCCACTCATGTATATAAATGAAGAAAAAAGTTGTGTGAGTATTTTGATATGATTATGAGCAACAGTTTGTACTTGAAACGCCATCAGTGAATATTACTCTAGCTTGAAGCCCTATGTTCCAATGGGAACGTAAAGGAATATATAATAATATATATACCTTAATCATTCTGACATACATTAAGTAATTCCTTTCAAAAGATAGGCACAATGACGACTTTATTTCCATGCTTTCACAAACAATCTAATCAGTTTCCTGACTAGATTTCCACTACCATCTTTGCAAAGAGCTGATGATGAGTTGTTCAGGGAAATTGTCTTATGGTTTTTGAGTACCTTCAGTTACCTTGGGACCTCCATTCAGTTAGGCGGGTCGGTCTCAACTGACAATGGAGCACGATAACCTAGAATATAATGCATGGAATATAATCTAACAATTACTAGAGCCAGTACAACTCGTTTCATCGTGGTGTACAAGCCTGGTCATTGGGTCGATGCAGTAGCTGACGATCGAGGTTTATGTGGTTAAATACGATTAGAAAGTTCCAGGCCAGAGAGTGCAAAACAATTTCTGTAGCTCTGAATAAATCACAACCCATTCCTAACTGCCATTGACCATCGATACTGTCACTGACGATTCCAACCTCCCGGAATATGAGTACAGAAAGATGACGTTGAGATCAGCTATTCTTTTAATAAACTGGTAAAAAAAGTCTGCAATAAATACCTTTTATATTGGATGAAATGTAATCCCAGTATCGCATTTACCATTGAGGGGAATATTTAAGCTTGTGACATATAGTACAGTGGCAGTGAAAAATAACAATTGGGAAAATGCTTCATCAATGCTTAAATTATTTAAAGATACATGGCTTATTATACACTACTCACCGAAATATGAATAATTAAGTAAAACCAATGTTCATAAAAACGTACTTTACTTTGCTTAACTGAAGGTCTACTTTTCGAATTAATTGAGAACACTTGTAGTAGGAATGATTCAACATCTGTCCATCCGGACATCTGGAAAATTCTACTACCCTCAGGACAATTAAAATTGAGGGAAGAGAACTGCAGACATCAAGTTTCGAGGTTGTGTAATTGCTGTGTGTTGTGTTCGAAACGTCGTAATCCTGTAAACAATACTGTTTTACTCTGTATGTGTGTGATTTATCCAGTAAACGAATTAATATGGAATTACATACTACCACACAGCCCAAATTATATATGTATACTAAAACTTTCTATAGAAAGATACCGTGTATGACTGAGTTTCAGTGCTTTGTGAAGATTATTTTCACACTGGAAATAAAGGACAGCCTGATGACATCTCTTCAGAGTGTATAGTCTACACTAAAAATCCATTATTCCACGTAAAGTAGCTAGTTAATAGGGATTTTGGAACTTATGCTAACTGACGTCTTATATGAAGAACTGGTCATCAATGGTGTTCGGTGCGTCAAGTGTAAAGAAAAAAGCTTAACGATGTCATTGGATAGTGGTGACGTTATATTGCGAAATAACAGAAATTAGAGTTCATCGGCCATTCTTTTCCAACCCAATGCTCGTCTCATAACTCAAAGGTGACGTCATAGATCCCTGATATAGATCATGAGTAGGTACTGCTAAACAGCTGCAAACTAGGGAGAAATAGCTGTCTAGTTCTGCCTGATTTTCAATGGTTCTCTAAATCATGTCGGTGATTGTGACGAAATTTACCTTGACACAAGGAAAATCACCAAATGCTCACAACTTTATGTGTGTGTATGTGTATAAGTGACCATTCTCATTCATGTTTTTAAAAGACAATTTACACCACTATTGATTTTCTTGTATGATTTCCTATTTCCTAAGTTTCAGAAATCGGAATACAAGTTGAAGATAATTTGAATTCATCACCGTCATCGCAATGTTCTTCTGCTTCAGCCACAGATTCCTCATCACCTGAATCGCCATACTGTCTTCCTCCACCGGTTGGTTTTCAAGACTCCCCGCCAACATCATCATCATCACCACCACTACCACCAGCCGTTTTGCCTTCTTCGTTAGATGCACAAAATTCCTCTACCTTATGTACAGTAAATGACCAGTTATTGCCTAGTATCACTTCTGCACCGCCTTCTTCATCATGCAGTGTTCAATGCATCACTGATGTGAATAAAGCAACATTAAATCAAACTGAAAGTATCGACTCAACGCTTCCATATTCTTCTTCTCAAAATCGTCAGTATCACAGTCAACACAGTCGAATAGATCAACGAAATAGAAGTGAACCATTCAGTGTATTTCGAAGACGTTCTTCAAATCCGAATTTATATTCACTAAGACCAAATGGTACTGTACAAAATACTAATGACTTATCAAAATGGTCTTCAGGTAAGATGATACCTTTTTTTCCTTTTTCAAAGTCTCCTTCTGTGGATGATAACTATAGTTTCACGTTGATTATCCTGTATTGTTTGACATCTGAATGTTTAGTGAACTGAAATCACATTTCAGAGAAATCTTTTCTGAACAGTTGCTAGAGTAGGTTTCAGTGTCATTGTAATCGCTTGGCTGATGGTGGGCTGGCGTTAGAATACATAATGTGTATTTCGTCATATTCGGAACTCGTCATCGGAATGCACCTGCCTCATCAGCGAGTGATGTTGTTTCCCAATGAGGCTCGAACCCAACACCCATTGTTTCAGTTGCCAAACTATCATCCACCAGGCTACTGGCCACGTGATTCACTTCTTTTGTCATGAAGGAACATCAGTTACCAGTCAGGGGAAACCACAGATCAACGGATAACTCTTCTATCCTAGCTAGGAATGTTTCAGTAGTCGACCGATGTGCTCGGACTCTGTTGAAGTTCATACAATGATTCCCTGTTATAAATTTGAACGAAGGAAGAAGAAACATTGGCGCAGAATAATCTGGATCCATTTTATTTCGTTGGTTTTCATCAGCTGCGTACAACCTGAATTCTTTAATAAAATAAAAATGAAAAGTGTACAGTTTTAACAAACTTTTGTCCGTTAGCAAGCATATTGTCAGAGCGTCGTAGTAAAATAAGGCGTTGCGATTTACAAGGTGTCTAAAGTGTTACGACATATATATATCTTGTTAGAGGGAAGTTTCTTGAAAAAAATTAACTAACAGTTGTGTTGTTGGGGTGGTAACAAAAGACAATTAGTGACAGTTACGTAATTAGATAAGAAAAGATCAAAATTTTAAAATTTCGGTGCAGATGAGAAGGTGATGATGTAATACAGTGAGCAGAACTCAGGAGATCAAGACAAATTATCTCTATGTAGCCTTCTTTTTACTTCCTTCCGTTTACTGTTGCAGTCTTCCATATAATCGGAGTTGATGTTCGCTGTATTGACAGGAGAACAAACGGTTGGTTCATTCTTTTTCCTTGTTGTCTCTACTTTTAAGCTCAAGGGGATGTCCCCTTAGTAATATTATATAATTAATAGCTCATCCATCAATACAGCCACACTCCACTCAGACCATAAAAGTGTGGCGAATATTATACAGCAACTGTTGGATAGTTTTATTAAACTACTCATACAACAGTGGTGTAATATTTTCTTTTAGACTATAAATGTAGCCATAATTCCTTAACTGCTTGTCATAACTAATCGAAATTTGAGATAGGCTGATTATTACAATATTATTCAACCCTTGAATTTTGAGTGGAACATAAGGCACTGACCAGCACATCTCCATCCCACTCGGTTCCCTGACATCACTTTCAGCTAGCTGCATAACTTCTAGCAAGCTTTCATTTCCCATTCACACATGATCTCCTGCATGTCATCCGTCGTTTCCCGCTCGGGTTCCACTCCAGAGACATCACTTGTGATGTCATTTGACGGTGTCCCAAGCATATATCCGATCCATTTCCTTTTCTATGGCATATTTGTTCTTGGCTGTTTCGCATCTAGAGTTCGCCAACCGGTTCTACTTCTGGAAAGGAGGGAAGGTTGGGCATGGGTCTAGCAACTACACCCTGTTTAAGCACCATCTTGATTTCTGTTGGAACCTCAAAGCACAGACCGGTTGATTTAGACTTTCCCGTCGATTGATTGGACCGAAGTGCTCGGTCACAGGTTGATATGTCGGCTCCTTGTTCAGATGTTTCGACAATGTCCGGTCATATAACTTGAAGTCAATTGATTGATGATGACTAGCAGTGGAATCCACGATAAAGCACATTTTGTCCTATTTGGGACTCGTCAACTGAATGTACCTGCATTCCCCGGTGAGTGGTGGTGTTCCCACTGGGGCTCGAACCCAGTGCCCATAGTCTCTAATGCCAAAGCATTATCCACCAGACTAATTGAGCCACGACAACCACCTCTTGTGCAACTGTTCCTTGTACAAATGCTCTGACGATGTCAACCTGAGACCGAGCACTTCTGTCCAATCAATCGACGGGAAAGTGTAAATTGAATTTAATAATTAATAAGGCCCGTTGCTCAAGAGGTAGCTGTCATGGCCTAATGTCGTATGCATAGCAGAATTTTCCCCATGTTTGGAAAACGCACTGAATTATTCTGGGAAATTCTACTACTCATACGACAAATGGAAGGGAGCAAATACCTGAGCCGACAAAAACCAGATTTCGAATTTATGAAGTTACGATCAATACCATATGATGATGAACCATAAATTATGTTTGAAGCTTTTTCATCCAGTAAAGAGTGTTGTTCCATTGTGTAATGCATGTAATGAACAGGGAAATATGGAGTTTTCTTACTTTTCCACACTTGTAGCACTACTACTACTAATAATAATAATGAAAACAGTGGTAATGGCAAATGAGCTTGGTTCCGTGACCTAAAAGTTCTGGGTTTGTCCCTCTGACGAGGTAGCAGATTCGCGCTTATGAAGAGTCCGAAGCTAGGACGAAACAGCTGTCCAAAGCACCCTAGTTTCCAGTGTTATATATAATGATGTTAGTTGGTGAGGAGTTTTTACAACTGAAATTAATACAAATCCCATAATCTAAGTAATAAATACTTTTGCACAGTGTTTACACATAATAAATGTTTACATTATTCGTGTGACAGGCATGCTGATTCACTTACTTAGATTATCGTGTATGTTATGGATTTCGATTGAATGCCAGACAGAAAGGAAAGGCACTGAGATACAGTTAGTTGTCAGGTGAATGAAAGAATAAATATCTAAGATGAAGGATTTCAGCTAAATCTCAATGATTGTTTGTTCGTAAACACACACACACGCAAGTTGGATGAATGAGTCAAAGAAATTTCAGTCTTACATCTAGAAAAATTGTTTATTTTAGTGAAATACTTGTTGTGTAGCGTTGAAAATTTTCTTTTTTGTTCCATATAATCTGTTTTCATTTGCCTATTATTTCTATAACCCCCGAATTTAAAAAGAATTTTTTCAAGTGTTGGTTTGTAGGGATTTGATTGGTTACAGGATTTTTCATCATGAGCTGACTTTAATTAGAGAACCACTGGAAAACCTGCAGGGAGTACTGGACAGCTGTTTCGTCCTAGTTTGGGACTCTTCAGCATTGGCAGAATTGGCAGAAGTTAGAATTCATGGGCCATTGGATCGGGTCCCAGTGGCTTAATGGTATACGAGCTTGTCTTGTAACCGGAAGGTCCTGGGTCCGAATCCCAGTGGGTACGTACTTCTGAAGATTCCCAGACTAGTCTGACGAAACAGCTGTCCAGTACTCCCATAATTTTTTTTATTTGATTCGCGTTCCGAGTTGAAAATAGGGCTTCAAGTCTTGAGCTTTTAGTTTTCAGTAGTCGTCGTTTTGTTTTCACAGGGTTAAACTGCTACACCTCTTGCCTTTTCGGGCTTACTGTCGTCGGCTAGGAGAAGTTTACAAGTGCATTCTTTAACCGGGAATCGAACTCGAAGCTTCCGTGTGACTGAAGGGTATTCTAATACTGAACCACTCACTCTTTTCTCCATACTTTATACATATTTAAGAACTTGTGGTTAATTGTCTATAGTTTGGTGTGTAAGGGTTTGTTATGTTTTTACGAGTTGACCACGGATTGATATCAGTTAGAGAACCATTGAAAACCAGGGAGTACTGGACAGCTGTTTCATCCTAGTTTGGGAATCATCGTCAGTACGCACCCACTGGGATTCTAGTGAGAAGTCGTGACCAGTGAGGTCCAATTAGATGTCACGTGTGTGGATGGATGTCCCACCAACGACAATGGTTGGGGTCGCGGTAAATCACGAATTGGTAGAAGTTGGAATTCATGGACTGGCCATTGAATCCGGTCCCAGTGGCTGAATGGTATACGAGCTAGCTTGTCTTGTACCCGGAAGATCCTGGGTTCGATAACCAGTGGGTGCGTACTTCCGATGATTCCCAAACTAGGATGAAACAGCAGCTGTCCAGTACTCCCTGGTTTTCAATGGTTCTCTAACTGATATCAATCCGTGATCAACTCGTAAAAACTTGTAGTTAGCCACAATTGAATGCTGTTCATCACTTGGCCCTTTGGATTACGTAAGACTGTCTAAGATGAGTTTCTATTTTGACCAATGTTTTCAGTTCATTAGTTATTACTTTGCGGAATTTGAAAATTTCAAAGTTGTTATAATTAGATGATTGGAGGCAATCGGTGGAAATCCTTGGACCCAGATTTCATGCCGATTAGCACTCACCAGTCGGCAAGGCTTATCTACAACCTTGAAGGAACTCATATCCCTGCTGAGCTTCGAGCCCATGTCATCCACAGCTGCAGTCAGAGACGCTACAGCTGAGATATTCGAGCTCGCGGTTGCCTTCCTATAGGATTATATTGAATACTTTGATTGAGCGCTAGGTAGTCAGTAACTAGTGTAATTTATGTGTCTAGTCCTGTCTATGATGCAGACTGAATACTACCAGTCAAGTTTTCAATGTGATCACCATGCTAGGTGGTTGGAGGAAATCGGCCGGCAGGAAGCCTAAGACCTAGGTTTCAAGCAATTCAGTGTACACTGTGATATCGAGCCACCTAGCGCGGTGGTCACATTGCAAACTTGACTGATAGGATTCAGTCTGCATCAAACAAAAAGGACTAGTGGCATGACACTGGTTGAATCAAAGTGTTTCAAAGTTGTTATGACTGAAGCCAGATACCAGTGAGTAGTAGATTGAGTTCAGAGGAGATGTCAGGTAGTTCAATTCCCCACAGGTTCACTCATAAGCCTCGCTCAAACGGTAGAAAGCCTGGAAAAGAGGGAGACTGGGGGTGAGGCTAGCAAGTCCACTCCGTGAAACTAAACACATCAAGGTCGCTGACACTTCAAAGCTTACAGCCTGGGGTCCAGTGTTTCTTCTGGAAGGCTAGTGAATGAATATATGTATAGATAAACTTGAATATATATACCTC